ACTGTGACTCTTCACAAGTCCAGAGGGGAGTAATCTTGAAGTGATTGTAACGAGGGCATGGTACCCTACGACTGGTGTTTAAGGGACAAGTTTTCATGAATATATTGGGTGGCCTAAGCTAAGACTCATAAGAATGAGTAAATGGGAATTGTGCCTGAGGAGGGATTAGGTGTTGAGAGGATAATATACAGTGTTAAGAAACAGCACTGTGAATACACCTGTAATCCAATCTACTTAGGAGGGCATGGATGAAGCAATGAATGGGAAAAGCTGGAGGAAACACTTTGCTGGTATGTCAGCAATCTTTTGATCTAATCCTGTTATTAATGGGAAGCGGCCTACACAGCGGGTTTCCCCCCCAACCTCAGCCTACTATTGACATTTGCAGTTTCCATAATTCTTTTGAAGGTGGGAGGTCAAAGGAATATCTATGAATGTTAGCAGCATCTTAATGACTTCTTCCTTGACTAGCGGGCCAAACGCGATTCTCAAGTTTATGACGAACAACAAAAAAAAATCTCCAATAGCTTCTCTAAGATGCGAGTACCCATTTTGGCGGGACCATGGAGAAAGCGAGAATTTAAACTCTCGGTTTGAGGAACCACGCCGCCCGTAATTAATCCATTAAATACAAAAAAACTTAGAAATAACATGAGAGGTAAATGTTGCATTTATCTGATGAGGCAGCCTCTATAACATTAATAGTTACAAACAAAACTCTGAAGCCAGCTGTGCCTGGCGTCAACCGGTGGGATGTGACACTTACTAGTTGTGGCAAACTTGTCTAAAAGCTACTTTAACTTTTGTGCGCGGGTATTTGTGTCAGCCTATACAATGAGTTTGTTTTTAGGATTTTTATTGTTATTATTTTTTTATTTTTTTTGAGACAGTGTAGATCTGCTTGCCCAGGTTTGAAGCGTACAGTGCACATCTTGGGCCTCACTGCCAACCTCTGCTCTCTGAGTTAAGCAAGTTCCACATGCCTCAGCCCCCAGAAGCTTGCGGACACGGGGATCACAGGTGTCACTACCACCATGCTCTGGCTAATTTTTGCATAGTTTAGCTACGAAGACAGGGATTTCACCATGTTGGTTCAGGACTTGGCCCGTCTTC